GGACAGCTTGAACAAGTTGCTAAATAGGAGATGCCTAAAGGCTGCCTGAAACTGCCGGCAAGAGGAATCGGTGTTCGCACCAAACTTCGAGCTTATCACGGAGAATGTGTTTTCGAGTGCATTTTGGTTGAGATGGCGAGTCAGAAGGTATCTGAAACCATACTTAAATGTCACGTGCTAACAAATCAGATTCACAGACCGAATGGTCAAGCGGAAGCCGCAAATGCAAGCAGGCTACCGTGGGCACCCAAGAACGTTTAGGCTTTCGGACACAAGAAGGGATTTCCTCAGAAACTCTTCGTGAACAGAGCCTTCGTGCATTGCACACATGTATGCACTCTTCCCGCGTTTCTGTGTGCTGTTCAAGCTATCAAAAAGGCGATTCATTTTTTCAACCAACCGTGCCGTGTGGATAGCTTCAACTGGCAGTTGCTGAAAAGTTACCATGGCAAACATTGCAGTAGCACAGTGATTACTGAATATTTGTGCTGCTTGCTTCACTGACATCTTGGAGGCAAAAGTCAAATTAAAATGCTTTTCCCCGAGCCTCGGCATGGATCGGATTTCAAGCTGGTGGTCTTTTTTGTAGGCTTCGCTGAGTAAAGAGCTTTTTAACGTGTGGTCCCCAAATTGAAAATTGTACTAAAAAACACATTTCACAAGCACTTCAGCAGATGCGGAAGCCCTACAAAACTGTAGCTTCTGATTCACAGGTATGTAGGCCTTCTCAGGGGTAACAAGGCCACTCAAAAGAGCAACATCTTTATTTCCTTGGTCACATGCGACCGCTACTGACTCCAGACCGGCTTTCACAAGCAAATTGTGGCACTGAAAAAGGAGGTCTCGCAAAATGTTGGCAGGTGTTCCCCCATGAGCAAAAAAACAGCCAAGTGGCTGTTTCCGTGGCGTGCGAATGCCTTTAGCCATAAACACAAGAGCTTTGTTTGCGAGGTCATGGCCTCTTCCAGTGCTACTTTCTTCGAGCCCTTCAAACTTGTCCACAAAAGGGTTGTGCGAGAGCTCTTTCGCGACGTTCATCTCGTCGAAGACAATAATATATGGCTTGTCTTCTGGTGAAAAAGGTGAACGTCTCTTGAAAAGTTCGAAAACTTCTGGTAAAACCAACCCTCACGGGAACACGCTGAAGCCAAACCTGTAACGACCTAACGAATGGGGCCTCAACAATTGCCTACAATAATGGAAACCCTCAGGGCTGTGAAGGCACAAGCCCAAGGCAAAGGCTTTGTTCTGGCTGCACCACCGCCTGCTGAACCTGGTTGCATTGCTCATCTTCAGCTGAGCTTCCACAAGGGCAGCAACGGCTAAAGACACAAGGCTACGTACACTTTCAACTATCTCAGTGACAGTCAGCATATGACGCCGTCGCTCCAGAGGTTGCTGGAGTCTCTTGTTGTGCTTCCGAAGTTGTCGAAGTTTGCCCCTCAACACGTCCATCTTCCCCTTGCCCTCGGTACGGGCGACACAGGACCCTGCAAGGAGGGGGGGGGGGGGGGGAAGAGCAATTATTAAACACTTTGAGAAACAATAAAGAAGCAATACACCTCCACTGTAGAAAATGTGGAAGTACAAGTAAGCCTTGTGCATCATAGCAGATACCTACGTTGGTGAGAATCTGCAGAAGTCGAAGTCGCCGAAGCATCATAATCGGTAGGGCAAGGTTCGGGCGCCCACACATAGTTTTCTCCAGTAGGCAGACCATGTCCATCCAACGCGTATGTGTGATCCACTACAAAAAGAAAAAAAAAAACACACGCAAAAAAAAAACGAAACAAAGTGACAGAGTGGTTGCAAAAAGCTGAACCAGCGATAGCTCGTCAAGTACTACGCAAAAAAAGTAATCTTCAAAGGCTGTCCTAAACAATGCACACAATCAAAACTTATCATGAGCTCTGGTTGGAGGGCTCCTCTTCGCAGTACAGGTCAGAGCCCAGAGACTGCTCCCCACATCTTCTAAGCAATGACGAGGCAAAAATAAAATCTGTCAAAAATATCAGTCATTGAATTGTTTCAGGATGTTCCTGCGGCGTGCGACAACCTAGATTAAAAACATGTTCATACATGTTTTGCATGTTTCCCAAGAAAGCGCAAGTACTGGGAACACACTCTATTATAGAAAGACTGCCTACTACGAAACAATCCGAAAAATATAAACTAGGTGGCTTGCAACACTTCTCCGTCAATATGCAAATGCTTTTACCTTGTTCCGTCGTGCGGTGTGTGTGACACCGTGAGGATGTGGGCGCACCGATGCTACTGCTGCTGGCCAGTGTGGGCTCGCCCTCGCTGCTCAATTGGCCAGGGCCGCTGCTCTGGACATCTCCGGCACCTATCAAAGTTCATTTGCGAAGTTAAGAACACTGAAAGAGTTCCTTGTATCTGCAAGTGAAATGCCTTGTGATTAAGCTTATGTTCTCACTAATAATGAAAATAAGATTTCGTGCTCGCCTTCAGTGGTCAAATATGCTGGTATTGTATCACGACGCAGCTTTCCTCGATAAGGAAACGCAGAGGGCTTGAAGTGCCTGGAGCTAGCCGCCCGTTCCCGCAGCTGCTGTGGTGCCTTGTTCTGTAGGCTTGCGTTTCGGCAGAACTGAACCCAGTTCTGCCGGTAGCTGCCCTACAGGCAGAATCCTGAATGTGAAGCCGTGTATTATTTTACGTACCCTGGGCTAAACTGAACAGGCTGAAATGCATTTAGAGGACATTTAAGAAAGAAACAAGATGAAACAGTAATGTTGGCTATAAACTGGTGACACCATTGTACCTGGTCTCCCGTCTGGATTCAGCGAACGCCATGAACGCGGAGCACACCTCTGTGCCCGTGAGGTTAGATAGGTTCACAACGCAAAAGATTACATTACGAGATCCCCGTGCACATGCACAGCAAGTAGACCTGATAGTCGCCAGCATGTTAGTACGACTACATCAACCAGGTTTCAATAGGAAGGATGTTTTAGTGTTATTCACACCATAATATGAAAGTTGGTTCAAACTGAAATATTCAGTCATTGTTTCTTATTAGGTTTTTGTGGTCACGCAGCCGTTCAGCAGAAGCCATATAAGTCCGCCACTAATATGTTAGATTAGTTTCGTCTCGCGCAGCTTGAAACGAAGACTGGGACAAAAAACGTTCGATCAACGGGGGCCTATTACTAAATGAGCATGCATGAGGGCCCATAGAAGAGGTCAGGAGCTTACCAGACATCACCGGACAACGGACATCAGGACATCACACATAGTTGCAGCGGACGCAGCTGCTACAAGTTTCACATTACAGAGTCCACAGGAAAACGATGAAGTGTGATGCCAGCGGCGCAGTCATCACTTGGGCATCGCGCTACCGAGCAGCGTCTCTTTACATTCGGCAGGCTCATCGTCCCGAAGAGGGGAGCCTTAAACGCGCCCTGCACTCGCTCGACGACAAAACCCCCAGAACGGCGCAACAGGCTTTAACCAGTACAAACCGCTCTGCACTCGGATACGTGGGAATACTTGAGACCACGAATCGTTAAACGATTGTGAAAGTTTGACGGGAGCTACAAAAATGCAGGCACACTGGCAAACGCAAACAATGCAAACACAAGACGTATCAGGACTGCGAACTTTTGCTGACGGCGTAATCACCTGTAATAGCGTCGTTGTAGAGGTCGCAACGGGTATACACAACATAATTCATATTAAACACTAACTAAAAAATTCACCCAACTGAACATGCTTAAACTAAGGTATTATGAATAAATAATACTTTCAAGTAAAGTAAACTATATTAAACACCGAAAATGTCTTTTTTTATATTTTGTCAGCTTAGTGTTTCGCCGGGCGAAACACAATAGACCCCATGCACAATTGCGCACCCTGACGGCGAACTTTTTATCAGTTTCGATTTGCACTGCATCATGGTACAGAAATCGCCATGTTTAGGTCAGCGTTCTCGGCGCCTCTTTCCGTACCGTGAGGTAACCGCCAACGTGAGCATTTCGTGCTTTTGCGGCATACGTGCGTGCCCCCAGCGTGCCCCGTCATGAGCGACGGCGTCTACCCCCCGACGGGATGGACGAGCAACTTGGCTCGGCTGCCGCGAATCTCGTCTCCGGACCTTGCCCGCCTGGCGTCCTGCTCGGGAACCGAGAAGGGAGCTCGCCGGAGCTACAAGTTAGTTACGGAGAGCTACGTCGTTGCGTCGACGGTATGCGCCAACTACGACGAAGAAATGTGAGTGGTTATAAGTGTTTTTTGGGGGGGAAGCGCGGACCTTGAGATCAACATTATAGCGTTGTCGGGTGAACACATGTGACGGTTGTCTTGCACTGGCGACTCTTCGAGGACTAACTTTCGCTCGGTCTGTCCCTCGCCGAGGCAAACTGCATGCAAGCGACTTCCGGGCGGTGGGAGAGGTTTTCCGGCTAATCCAGAAACGAGCAACACGACGAGCGATGGCATAACCCGTCGCTCGCCATATCGCTCACGTGCGCGCCCCGTTTTACGACGTGTTTGCAAGCCAGCGCTAGTCGGGCGGTGCAATCTGAGCTGTGTGCCCCTGTGAAAACGAAGCTAAGCGCCTCGATTCGAGCGACGCCAGACCGTCACTGGGCTTGCGCCGCAGAACAGGCTCGCCCAAATCGGGAGCTGTGTAGCGATTCGCACGCGCAGCCATGTAGCAGGCTGCAGCTCTCAAACTGGCACGTTCTCTCAGAAATACCTAGCACTGATAATGTATTTCACATTTTGCCGTGCCCTGCTTGAGATGGCGCGGTGTGCCTCGCATGAAATGGTCAGGACCGTAATGATTGGGAACAGGTGCTTATCGCTTATCATTGTCATTTAAAGGGCCTCCAGATTCTTCTTGAGAGCCAGATGCTTCAGGAGCCACAAGAAACCTCAGCCACCCTACACCGTGAGCGCCACCATCACCAAGGACGGTGAACTTGTTAACGGATATTGCGAGTGCCCAGCTGGGAAGCAAAGCCTTCAGCCACCTCCAGGCCGTCCTGAAGACGGTTATTTTGATCCAAGGCAAGGGATTCACCGAGGCCCCAGCACATCTGTCATGCACAGATCTGCCACAGCGTTGGAGAAGACCGAGGGGCCAGGTCATCAAAGGTTCAAGTGTGCAGGGTGTTGACTGGCGGAGGGTGGGCAAAGGACGACAAGACTTGCCGCGCTCATGTCGGCTGGACCTCAGCAAGGCTAAGGAGCGTACTATCAGCCAAAAGAAAAGCGCCGCGCTCCAATTCGCAAGCAGTTTGCAGCAGCTGGACGGGATGACCTCCTTGGTAGCAGTGTTGGGAGCTGCAGATCGAGCACAAGTGTGCAGCTCCAAGTGCGGCGATGTGCTTGCTTGCTCTCCACTCGCCTACCAGCAGCCACTTGTCCCATTTGGATTTTGCATCTTGTTGTGCGAGGAGCTGGAGGCACCTGGCCATCTGAACATCGGGCGGCCACTAGAAGAAATGGTGCCTTTTCTTGAAAGCGACGAGTGGACTGTTCCGGATGGTGTCAGCACGAAGGCAAGGCTTCTGTTAGAGGTTAGCTTTGTTTTCACTTTTTCCTAACATACTGGGAGCGTAATTTCAACTTATAAACTTTACTACCGCTGCATGGTGTCTCAAACGAGCAACCATACTCCATCTCAGTGCACAATGTTTATAAACCAAGAGCACTGTACACCCTCAATCACACTTAGCTATAACAAGTCCGTGGTTTTTCCGTCCTCCCATCGCCGACATAGCAGGTGCACTTGCAAACGCCGAACACAGGGTGCAGTGAACTTTTTCTTCCAGACTGCGCAGTGTTTTCGAGTGCACCTGCTATGTGTGCATTGGGAGGACAAAGAAACCGCAGACCGTCTGTTAGACTATCACTCTAGAATCAAATATTATTTAAACTATTACAACAGTGCTTGAGGCAGATGCTTTTTCTCCTGTAAAAGATAATGGGGTGTTTTGCCATGCAATGGAAGCTTATAGACTATTGCATTTTAAGGTCTCTATAGTTTAAGATAATGTAAATAACATTTTTTAGTGTGGGTGGTAGCTCACAACAGATGCCAAGACATATTCAGACTGCGACACCTCAAGCATCGCAATGCCGCTGGGAAGCCCCTGCCCCCTGATATACTCATACTTTGTCTCACAAGTAGGGGAGAAAGGGCGAGCACTAAGAACATTGGAGAGGAGAAGAGGTTTATCTTCTCTTCCCTTCGTAGTGGTTGCCCTTTCTCCCCTTGGCCCGCACTGCCTTCATCTGCGCTGCAAGCAACTAGTGGGATGAAGTACAATAAGGGCCACACTCTGGTCCCGTTACGTTTACCTTCGGTTTTACTTCAGGGATGGTTATTTCTGTGCTTGTTTCGTGCACATACATTTTCCAGAACCTTTTTGGGGCCGTGCGACCCTAAGACATTACTCTGCAATCCCCGCTTTGCACACCTCTGGTCTATAGTAATTTGGAAAAAATGTTTTAACAAAGACAGGAAGCCAGGAGTTTCAGAGAAGATTTGTGTTCACATCACTGTGTTCTTGTCTAAACTTGTTAATGTAATTCTGCTTGTTTCAGAAAATAACACTGACGCCACTTGAAGCACAGGACCTTGAGAAGAACTCGCGGAGGCAGCGCGACAGTGCTACCTGGCTTCAGGCAAGGCAGTACCGCCTGACTGCATCGAACTTTGGCACCGTACATCGTCACGGCGAGTGGACAGAAAAGGGACTGGCAAACCTGACCTCAACAAAGGACTTGTCCAGGGTTCCTGCCATTCGGTGAGCGTAGCATTTCAAAAAATCAGTTAAGCGAATTCGCAGAAACAATGTTTTGCATGTTGCATGACCTCCCCTAGGTGTCTTTGGTCCAGAAACCGTTGCTAATGCTATGGGAGAGCTTTCTGGGGGGACGAATTCAGCTGCCAGTAGATTGTACAAAGCCTACTGGGAGAGGCAGAGAAATGGTGCCTGGAACATATCTTCGGCCGGTATGTGTACCTAAAGCCGCTCGATAAAATCCATGCTTTCTGTCAGTTTTAATAGTACAGTCATTCATTGTTCTGTGAATGTGCGAGGTGCATGCCTTAATGAAATAACATGGCGTTTTGATAGCTCTGGCAGTGCATTGCCGTTACTTCTTTACAAGGGCTGTTCAAGATATATGTCTCGTGCATTGGCACCCTTGACGCTGCTTGTAAAAGAAACGCTGATAAAAAAGAAACTCGTTGAGCGGCTTTATGTGAAACCACGTTTTTAATTCTGGTCCCTCGATTTCTGCCTGGTGACGTCAGAATTGAATGTACTTTTCCCCTATTGCAACACTGGTGGTAGTACACCAGCAGTGTCATGTTATAACAGGTTATAACAGGTGTATCCTGGCAGGCTCTGCTGCCTGCCAGTCGAGGGAAACCTCTGTTGCCACAAGTTGGCATGCTGCTACAGATACCTTTGTACCCGCTATCCTTCTTCACCATATTTTTTTTTACCAATAACTGCCACAATCGCGACACTCGACAGCCTGAACTACCCGCTCCTCTCACATAACTGTCCGATATGAAATAGTCTTATTTTCATACTGATAGAGAGAGGCCCACGGCATGCTGTCGTAGGTATTTCATTTAACAGCATTTTATGCCTTACGATGAAAAACCAATGGTTCTGTAGTGGTAACTTCTTACTACGTGCTGATCTAGTTTGAAGAATGAAATAAACATTGTATATTACTTAATTTGAATTTTTTGTATTGTGTATCTACTTTTTTTAGGTATGGGATTGTCAACGAGCCTAAAGCACTGCAACGCTACGAGGACGTTTTAAAGAGCAGGGGCCGAGACGTCCATCTGTCGAGTGCGGGGCTGTTCGTGGATCCTGACCAACCATGGCTCGGAGCAACTCCAGATGCAATTGTGTACGACGCGACAGAACAACCACCATGGGGATGTGTAGAAGTAAAACGCCTTTACACCTTGAGGAATGCAGATTGCGACACACTGCTCGCAAGTAACATTAGTGTTGCTTTTGACAGCTCTAACTGTCCGCATCTCAAGACAGAGCACCCCCACTTTGCTCAAGTGGTAGGACAGATGGGGGTAACAAACCTCAAGTGGGCAGACTATGTTCTTTATGGGGACAACTTCCTAACCATTCAGAGGATCAGGTTTGACAAGAATATTTGGGAGGACATAAAAGAGAGCTTAGACAACTTTAATTTCACTACTCTTCTGCCATACTTTGCAGCAAAGTCGTAAAGAGAAGCTGGTAAAATTTACCGGGCCCCCTTAAAGGTGCGCCGAAGTCATTTTTAAAGAAGGTAATTTTTTTTTGTTATATAGTTTACACGGTGTTAGCTACTTTATATATCAAGTTCTAGTATACAAAACTGCGGTCCACATTCTCTGGCCCAAGGAAAGTCGTACAATAAGCATAGATCCTAAGCAATTTTATTATAACTCGTTTTGAAAAGAGTCATACGCACACATTCTGATAACTATTTTCTGGCCGCAGGGGAAGCCATCGCTTGCAATTGGCCGACAATCGCGTTCGTCAACCACTTCACTCTGAACAAAATATCCCATGAGAAAAAGCATGTCGGTGATCTTTGAGAACGTTTTAGTGGGAAATAGGCCAAGCAGGATTGTAATTTTGGGGTTTTAGAATCCTTAAAGGGGCCCTGCAAGGACTTCTTTAGTGGTTTTTAATTTGCACCGAACCTGAGCACACTGAACGTAGTAACTTAGTGCAACTTTTCTTTTCTCGAAATTTCCTTTATTTTAAAAGTTATAGGCAAATTAAGATTACAAAAACAAGCAAAAAATAACATCCCTCGTGACGTCCTTGGTTGCTTGAGAGTGGTCGTGAACTAAAGGAGGGGTAGTGAGCTTATCGAGCGCTCACGGCTGCCGCACTCCATGTGGACGGCGCGAGAGGGCGCCACTAAAGCATGTTCTGGATAGGCTGTGTGCAGCGGGCAGCTGGAGCGGCTCTCATTGCATTCGCTGCGCGATTAAATACTAATTTGGCATGACACTTTATTGGCAACAAACGACAGGAAACATGGGGTAAAGATCAGTTCAGAATGGGAGCCAATTTGCGCTACCATACCGCAAAACGGCCAAACCTTAAGACAAAGCTTCTCGCCGAAGGCCTTCGGAACGCTCACAGCCGATCGGATCCTCCTGTCCATACGACCGCAGTGCCGCCGCATTCATCCGGGACCTTTCTGTGTCGACGCCTGATCCCACTACTCCTTTCTAGTATGCGCCGCCTTTTCCACCGCTTGGTGGTGGGTATGTCCACGGGTTATTTCTTGTTTCCATACTTTATAAACTGCATTCGTTTCTTTTCTGATCTAAAATACTGAACAAAAACTACTTTTATAAATAATTGAAACGGTTCGCACCACTTATATTTTGGGTTTCGACTAAAAAGAAGCTTTTAGCGGCTCTGACCAGTAATAAGCCCAGGACCAAAGACGTCACATTTTGCGCGCTTTCGGTACCGCGGGTCGCCCTCGTCGGTGGAGGAGGTTTCCGCGTCGTCCGGTTAAAATATTACGCACTGATATTTAGTTACTCTCTCCGTGCCCGCTGTCTTGCCCGAACGCCAAGAGACGTGGAAACCGCAAAAAAGGTAGACGCTTAAATATGATTCAGGGCCCCTTTAAAGTGTGTAGATTGAGTTATCACCGTAAAAAGACTATCTCAAAAATGACTTCAGTGCCCCTGTAAAGTTTGTACATGTAAATATTTTTTCTTTTGATTTTTGTAAGCAGAACGGACTTAAGGCTGCTTAGCCTTAAGCTTCTGTTTCAATACTCAATATTGATTTGTACAAATAAACAAACAAACATGTATACATTGGCTCAATCCACTTCTTTTAAAATAGAAGGTTGAAGGTTGCTCAGAAGAGCGCAAATAGTCCACATCTGGTTAACTATGGGACCAAGAGAGAGGGGAACAACTCTGTCAAATATATGATAAGTCTTAATGCGCTGGATTCTCCTCTCTACGTGAATCCGCAAAGAAGCAATGTCCGCCGTTTCTCGCACCTCTGCAACACTGAACTGTTGCTTCGTCAGAAACGGTGGCAAGTTCAATCCAATACCTTTCTTGTCAAAAAGATCTTTGATTTTGAATTCCTTGTCAGCCATGACTGTGTCACCTGGTGCAAACTCTTGTTCCAGAAACCCACTTCTGATCACAAGTTCTCTGTCTGAAGCTGACCTAGTGAAGAGCTCTGAAACAAAGCTCACAAGTCCGTTCGGTGAAATTCCAATTAGTCCCTTGAGAGTGTTTGTCAATTTATATGGAGAGTATGTTCCCGACTGCAGAACCAGAGAACTGGAGACTTCGCACCGAACTTCAGTAACATCAATAATCACCCGTGTTGTTGGATACCGTGCCTTAAACTCCTCAGCCATGGTTGAGTCTACAATATCACGTGGTGGCCACCATGCCAGCTCCGACAGCCGGACATAGAGCAGGTTACCCCATGTTCCAAAAGCCCTCGACACAGTGCTGGTAGAGACGTTGAAGATGTGTGCCAGGTGCATGTGGAAATGACCAAGTCGCAGCTTGACAAGCGTCATGAAAAGCTGGTCCTCTTGAGATAGCTTGTGCGGACGACCTCTTGCTTCCCTATTTGGGTGGTCCGGATTAGCACCGTCACTTTCTGAGGCTACATACTGCAGTAATCCTTTAAAATAACCGTAGCTTTGCACGCCAGTGTAGAACTGGATGCTGCTGTCGTCGTCTTTAAATCTTTCTGCCGAAAATGTCTTCTTCCGTTTGTCTGCCTCGGACAATTTTGTTTCGAGCTCTTGCATTTTAGCTGTGTGTTCATTCTTCAGCTCCTCGTTCCTCCGCATTAGACACACTACTTGTTCCTTTGCTCGTGCAAGGTCTCTTTTTGTTGTGCTCAGGATGTTGCTGCAGTTCAGAAGAATGTTACACTGATCCTTTAGCTTGACAAGCTCTGCATCCTTTTCTTTCAGCTGCAGCTTCATCTGAGTCAATTCTGTGCAGGCGCAGTTGCATTTGCCTTGTGTCAAACTGATGCTTGCAGGTGCATCTGTGTTCACCGCCCAGCCTGGAACTTGGCTTGTTGATGTTCCTACATCATTTAGGTCTGGGGGAGATGCCATTTCATCGCTGCAAAACACATCTGTAGTGTTTGGTTCGAGGAATTTGGTCTGCAGGGGTTGTCGGTTGGGAACCGGTCGAGGCACGACTTTCTTGGTGAATTCAAAAAGAGAAGGCACCGCATTTTCCTTCAAATACTGTCGTCCGCTTGCCACATTGGGGACGAAGCTGTCCGGCGTGAAGTGCCTTGAGCACACCTTGGTTGTTTGCTGAATGCTGAAGTGTGCACCAGGGTCTCTTCTGATAGCATGGATCCACTTCCGCCGTAGTTTGTTCCCAGAAGGAAACTTGTGGAATGTGACCTAGTTCGAGAAAAAACTATAATTAGAAATTCCAACAATCACTCTCAAGCCACCCGTAGTTCACATATGCTGTAAATGTTGCTAAACCATGTTTACGAATACGAGGGAAGCAACTGGCTAAGTTGTACTACACTTCCTAAAGCATAATAATGTGCTACGCGTTCAGTATAAATCATTTTCCGAAATTTTTTTCTTCACTTGTTTCAACCAAAAACCTGTTGAACTTGGCTGGCGTGAGCCGTTGGACCATCTCGTCCGCAAGGATTTGCACGTCGAGCCACGAGGAAAACAGGTCGGCAAATATGTTCACGTTCTCCGCTTCAAGGTTTTCAATCGCAGAGGCTTCTAGAATGTGCGTCCTAGCGTCAGCAGTGACTCCGCATCATACGCTACGCCTCCGGGAAACGCTCTCGTTCACAGGCACTGCACATGCTCCTCGCACGAAGTGATCTGTCAGTGCGAAGCTTTTTGTATACTTTCGTTTCACCTTACGACGTGCCGCATCTAAGAGCACGAACTTCTTGTTCTACGGCGCACCTCGGCAGCACGAGCTCGCGCTTCTAGCCTTCGCTGCAGCACATTGTTCGTTCGTGATCCATTACTGAAAACGATTATTGACGTTAAGCGTACCGCGCCACCGGCAACGGTGCAGCGAACTAGCTCGCACAGGCTGTTCAGGTGCGTGAAACGCGGGTGCAAAATCGCGTGCGCGCCTCCGCACGTGGGTTTGTTTAGAAACTTCTACGGCTTACCTTTTTGCTGTTCTCGTCGCGGTAGCCACGCTGGCGGCACAGTGGCACACAGCACGTTTCAACCATCGCCTACCGCAATGTAACACAGCCGCTGACACGAAGCTCGGCGCAAGGCTCAGCGTGTGAAAGTCGGCGCGCGGCGAGAGATGCCGGCTGGCGACAATCCTGCGGCGTGCGTCGTCTGCTCCGACGACCTAAACATGGCGGCTGGTCGTAGTTCCTGTGCGCGGCACTAGGGGCGCCCTTATACGCAAGGGGTCTATCACGCTGCGGTAGCGCGGCCTCCAGGGTGATGACGCTGACGATTGGTTTTAGACCGCTTTTTTTATCCACTTTCGCGACCCATATGAATTGACCTTGACGTCGGTACCTACGACGGAGCCGCTAGACAAACAAAACACAAATGCCGAACTTACATGGATAAATAACTCCAGCAAACTATTTTGAATCGGGCGGTAACTTACGCCACACTCGAGCGGCGTCGCACGGTAGTTCAAGAGACCCAGCCAAAAGTCATCGCCGGAGTGTTCGCATTTTTTTAGGAGCCTCTTGACAACCTGAACGTCTTTCTCGGCGAGGCCGTTGGATCTGGGGAAGTATGGACTGGAGGTCACATGAACGAAATCGAATCGTGCAGCGAAATCTGAAAAGTCCCGCGCCCGAACTGTGGTCCACCATCCGTGCATACTTCAATGGGTATTCCATGTCTAGAAAAAATGCTTTCCATGGTGCTGATGACCGTTCTTGACGTCGTGTCCTGCAGTTCCGCAACTTCCAGAAAATTTGAATAAGAGTCATAGATAACCAGATAGTTTTTTCCCGCAAAATGAAAAAGGTCTGCTCCAACTCTTGCCCAGGGCTGCCTGGGCGTCTCTCGGAGCAACAGCGGTTCATCGGGATGACGATATGTAAAGTGTTTGCAGGTGGAACACTTGCTGATCCACGCAGTTATGTCTGCGGTCATTCCTGGCCAGAACATTAATTGTCTTGCGCGAGATTGACATTTTCCCAGTCCTAGGTGCCCGCAATGCACGCGCTGTAACATCTCTAGTCTTAAGCTTCGTGGTATGACTACTTTGGAGCCCTTGAGTAGTACACCATCAATGAAGGAGAGCTCCGACCGGAACGGCTTAAACTTGCCTTGCAGTGGCGCCTTTCTCATCAGGCCATGGATGACGTCTTGGAGTTCACTGTCTTGTGCTGTTTCTTTGACAAGACGTGCTTTGGTCTTGTCACTCACTAGGGTGGACAGAACACCTGTTGCGTGGACGTCGACATCGTCAGTAGTTGAAGCGCTGCTCCCGGTCCTTATGCGAGACAGTGCATCCGCCAGTATCAGTTGCTTGCCTGGGACGAACTGTAACGTAAATTCGTACCGCATTAGACGCAAAAATAGTCTCTGGAGCCGCGGTGGCATATCACCAATAGCTTTTTGTGCAATAGCTAGTAACGGGCGGTGGTCTGTTTCGATCATGATGGATTGGCCATACACGAAGTCGTGGAATTTTTCGCATCCGAGTACTATGCCTAGATTTTCCTTTTCAATCTGTGAATACCTGCCCTACTGTCTGTCAGCACCCGTGAAGCGTAGCCTACTGGACGCCATTCTTTTCCGTGCTGTTGAAACAGAGCCGCTCCTAGAGCACCTTTTGATGCATCCGTTGACAGTTTAATTGGCTTTGAGGGATCAAAAATGGCTAGAACTGGACCTTCTGTTAACATTTGCTGAAGTGAACACCACTCACGCGTGTGGACATCGCTCCATTCGAATAGTGAGTCTTCCTTAATCAAGTCTCTAAGCATGGCTGTCTTTGATGACAAATTAGGAAGGAACTTGCCGAAGTAGTTTACGGCTCCTAACAGGCGTTGGACCTCCTTTTTGGACGTCGGCAGTGGCATCTCGCGAAGACATTGTACTAGCTCGGGGTCCTGCTTGATTCCACTCCGGCTGATCTTGTCCCCTAAGTACCGTATCTCGTCTACTCCAAACGTGCATTTCTCAGCGTTTAGAGTGATGCCACTTAACTGGGCTGCCCTCAATGCTGCTCTTAGCCGCAAATCATGTTCTTCGCGTGAAGTTCCCCAAACCAGAACGTCGTCAATATAAACTCTGACGCCTGGAAGATCATCAAATATTTGGCTCATGGTTTTCTGAAAAACTTCAGGCGCAGAAGCGATACCGAAAGGGAGCCTTAAATAACGATAGCGGCCAAAGGGGGTGGCGAACGTGCATATCTGGGATGTGTAACTGTCAAGCGGGATTTGATGAAACCCGTTGTTGGCATCTAGCTTGCTGAAATATTTTGCGTCAGCTAGCTCTGCTTCAATGTCTTCCCTTCGCGGCAACTGAAAATGTTCCCTTTTCAAGGCGGCATTTACGTGCTTAGGATTCATACAAACACGAATCTTTCCCGTTTTCTTTCTAACCACAACCAAAGGGCTCACCCAATCGGTCGGCTCCTGAACTTTCGCGATGATGCCGCCTGCAACCATCCTGTCGAGCTCTGCTTTCAAGGGGCCCCGGAGAGCATGAGGGACACGTCGGGCCGGTATTACTACCGGTTGTGCATCGTTTTTGAGCACCATCCTGTATTCCGTCTTGGTTTTTCCCAGACCCTTGAACAAACCTGGGGATTCGGATGTCAATTGCTGCACCAGGTCACTCTTGTTTTCTATGGAATCAACTCTGTTGACCAAGCCAAATTTCTCGCAGGCCTCAAGGCCAAGAAGGGCTTGCCTTCCTTTCATCAAAATAAAGAAGTTCAACCGACCCCTTTGTCCGTGTATCTGAACGTCGAGACACTTTTCCCATGTGTTCAAGCGTCGCGCCGCCGTAGGACCGCAGGGTTGTGGAACTCGGCTCGAGCGGCGTTGACAGACGAAGTCTTTTGTACATAGACAGGGGCAGCAAATTTGCTTGTGCTCCAGTGTGGACTTTCAGACGGGCTTCGTGACTGCTATCTTCGCGGTGACCATCCAGTCGCGCTTTTCTTTTCCTCTTTCTCCGTTGACTGACAGAATGTCAAAATCGTCGGTGTCCGTGCGAGAACCCGTTTTTTGGTTGATCACGTTGTCCACGGACTTTTTTGCGCTATTGCAGACTTTAGCGAAGTGGCTCTTTTTGCCGCATTTCTTGCATGCCTTACCAAATGCTGAGCACAAGCGGGGCTCGTGAACATAGCTGCAATACTTACATTTCTTTCTGGTAGCTACAGGGTTAACGGTTTCTTCCACGTGCTCGAATGTCTTGTTTTGGCGCTCCGAGATTGCTGCGGATTTGCTGAAATCTACTGCCTTACTCAGGGTGAGGTCTTTTTCACGCAGGAGTCTTTCCCCCAGTTTCTTGCTGGCGGTGTCGTAAACGATCTGGTCGCGCAGCATCGATTCCGACAAGTCCCCGAAGTTGCAAGTCCTTGTCTTGAGCTGCAGGTCACGGAAGAAGAGCTCGAAGGCTTCCTTAGGCTCCTGCACTCTGGTCCTGATTACGTATCGCTCGTAGGTCTCGTTGACCCCCGGGAGACAGTAGTCCTCGAACTGCTGCACTAGCACATCGCAGTCTTCTTTTTCGTCGGCTGTCAACTGGAACGTATTGAACACGTCAATCGCTTCCTGCCCGGCTACATGGAGGAAAATCGCAGCCTTCTGCTGCTTCATTCTCGGTTCCTTAATCGCTGTGGCTATGAAGTACAGTTCCATTCGTTGCTTGAAGCGTTTCCAGTTCTCGGCCGTATCTTCCGATAGCCGGAGTCCTTCTGGTGGCTTCAGCTCAGCCATGCCAAATCTCGCATTTCGCTCACCTCAAAGTGGAAGATTGTCGAGCCACTTCTGACACCATGTAACGGTGGGAGATTAGCACAAAGAGGAGACAGGCATGATTGCTGACACGTCTCGACGCCCGAGCACTAGGCCGACGTTCCATTTATTGGCGCGTGCTGCCTGGTGCCTGCGCACCTGCAGACGATGATGTTGCTAGCCAATTGCCGATACAGACCTATGCCAACGCGGCCGCGCTCGTCTTCCCGTCGGCAGCCATCCCCGTTAGCGAGCCACCGCCCACCGCCGTGCAGTGACTAAGCTGTTTCACGCGCCTCCCGGACCGCCGGCCAAGGTCTACTGTCTCATGACCACCGTCGATCTGTCAGCCCCAAAGGCCTGGTTCACACTTGCGAATCGGCGGGCGAATCTGCAAGAATTCGGCCGCCAGGCGTAGCGTCTACTGTGCATTGCTGCGGCCGATTCCGCTTCGGCGGCAGCGGATTAGCTGTAAATGTGAACCAGGCCTAAGCGCCCCCGCGGATCGCCTGATTCTCCGTCGTTCTGCTTCCGCTACGGTTCCCGCCAGCATCGTGATTCGCCATCGCGCTGCCCGGCGCCAGATCAGCGCTGCTTTCACTGCGGTAGGCGTGGCCATTTTCGCTCCGTCTGCAACAAGCTTCAACACTCGTCCGCACTCGCCGTGGCTGAAGTTGACTGCCGCCACTCATCCGATGATGACGAAGTTTTGAGAGTCCTTTCCATCAATGGTCGTGCTCGCACCGGCATTTTTATCGGCGTTTTTGTTGATGATAAACCGTTAACGTTCCTTCTCGACTCTGGTTCTTCGGTCTCAATTTTGGCGGACAGCCATTTTAAAAAGCACTTCGCTGCAGAAGCGCTGCTTTATGCTCCAGGAGTGAAACTGTTTGACTACACCAAGCAACCTATCCCAGTACGTGGTTGCTTTTCCGCCCAAGTTATGTTCAAAGGACGTGCTGCGCGCCTCCTGTTCTACGTTGTGTGTCAAGGCACACCTCTCCTCGGTATCGACGCCATCAAGGCTTTAGACCTTCACATTGAAGGCTCTACCCTTCGTTGCTTCGAGACAACATCAGTGCCAGCTGCAGGCGAAACCGACCAGCCCTCCGCAACGGAGACTGTTCCTGTACCCCCTCGGCTTCCGAGGACTCTTGCCAGCGAGTTCGGATCCCTCTTTGCTCCAGGACTTGAACTTGCCAAGGGTTCTATTCATAAGGTCAAAGTCAGAACAACGGTACCACCTGCCGCATCGAAGCCCCGGCATCTTTCGC